GAGGTCCCTTCCTTGTATGGGATTACTACTGATGATTTTGATTCCTTATTGCTGGTGTCATCATTAGTATTATTATTATCATTATTAGTGTTATTATTATTATAATCACTATCGCTACTATTATTATTTATTTTATTTTTACATTTCCCTACATATTTCTTGACCAAAAATAAACAAATCAATAAGGAATATACTTAGATATTGGAGGCAATTAATCGGTAATAAACCATGAATCTAGACGGTAATCCTTAATGACACTCCTCATCGATCGACAAGGCATATTCTGCAACCTGAAGAAAACCGATGTCCTCCTGTGGGATTCGAAACAGGTATTATCCCCTTCAATAATTCTTGCTGTACGACTTCATCATGAGCTGACATTGGTTAGGAAACCATTGGAAAACCCGAAGGGAGTACTTGACAACTGTTTCGTCCTAGTTTAGGACTGGCTCTTCATCAGAACTCACCCACCGTCCAGCGATCGAACCCAGGATCTTCTGGTTATAAACCATCTGCTTGTAGACCATTAAGCCACTGGGACCCGATCCAATGAATTCTAACTTCTGCCGATTCACGACATATCGCGACCCCTAGCCAATGTTATCGGTGGCGAGTATTCGTCCTCAAACCCGACCTGCTGTACCCTACTGGTGACGACCAATGTCAACTCATGATGAAATCCTGTAACCAATCAATCAAATCCCTACAGACCAACACTTGAATTTTTGCTGTGATCAACTTATTCAACGACTGTAAGTACTTCGTATCGACTGCTTTCAATTTAAAGCAAAAAATCTTTACCGAATCTTTCGTTTTGGTGACTGCACTGATGAATATCTGACTGATTAGAATTCATTCTTGCCAGTCATTATCTGTCTGTCTGTTTTCGACATAGAACTTTGCACAAATGTGCGGAAGTTCAAGTCGCCACACTCCGTGTAGCACGCGAAGCAAGAGAAGAAAATACAAGAAAAGCATAATAGAAACGGTGAGCAGAGGTGTGAGACAAAGGAGTAATAAAGAAATACAAAACAGTTTCATTGAAGATCATAAGTCACAAGGAGTGGATGCATCTGCGCCACTGAGAACGGTTTTGAGCCATGTCACCAATTGTTTGCAACCTTCGTTGGTTTTTACCGGCCCGAGGGCCCCAGCCTGGAAGTCTACACCTTTCTACGTGGCTTAGACCAACTGTTGTGGATTTCATTGACTGATGCCAAGTTTTTGTTTGACCGCCGCTAGCTTTTTTCCAGTTTGACCCTATATCCGCTAACATAACATTATAGTATTTCTTATCGTACTGTTACCAAGATGTGGTTGGTGAAAAGACAATAAAGGAAAGAAAAAAAAGAACGACCATAAAATAATCATTCCGATGGCATTTATATATCAACGTGTTAAGTGCGTTCTCTTGATGCAATGGTTTAGTGAGTACATTGGACTGTCACACTGAGCGGAGAAGATAATCACTTTTGAATCTTATCATTTCAGAAAGATCGATTTCATGTGCACAAACTGCATGTACACGATATCAGAAAATCAAATTGTACTGTACTAGATAGGAATTTTTGGGGAGGAAAGTTGAGGAAAGGTTGACATTAAACACAAACCAATAGATGCCTGAGTTCAATTTTTGTTAGAATCTTATGGTCACTGTTAAAGAGGCTTCACAGATCAAGACTGAATAGCTTTCTGGTACTCTGTGTCTTTCAGTATTCCCAATATATGCTCTGGTTGTCTTTTAAAAAAAAACCTTAATACTGCCAGTTCCACGATTTCTGACTGTATCCTAGGTTAGTTGAGAGGGTTATATACAATATCCATACACCTAGACTTACTAATATTTTTATTTACTTAAAATGTATACTGAAAATTATGTAAAAAAAAAATAATTTCGAGTATTTTCTAGTTGCTTTTGTGTTATTAGGTCATTCTCGTGATGATTTTTTTACACAATATAAATCCAAGGTTATCACAATTGGAAGTCATTCGCTCCCTTACTTAACACACTTCATAGAGTGTATTGCATGAAGATTAGAAATCTACTGGAGCAAAAGAAAAAAATATGGTAAACTCATGAAGTGAATATGACTAGAATGTTATCATGATAGGGAGGGGGTTTTTTTAAACAGAAAAGCTTTTAAAACCTCCAGGGACTAGAAGTGAAATGAGATAATATATATGACAAAGGTAAAGACGACATGGTACAGACAGATAGGTGTGTCATTCGTCAACATCTTTTGCACACACACACACAAACAAACACATGTCAGTTACTTTAACATGAGTACACTGATGACGACTTAAGCAACAATGAAAAAATAATAATAATAAAGCCTTCAATGTCGTGTTTAACAACTTAAATTTATACAGAAATAAGATCATTTGACTAAATATATGTATAGCATTGTATTATTTAGTTAGACGATTAAAAAACGTCTTGCACAAAGAATACTCAACTTCATTTATCGAATAACATTTCCAACTTTAGACAATGTTACTGATATAAGTACAGAGCGTATAAGGAGAAAATAAGAACCAGAAAGCTACTAATCTGTGAAGATGGTTTTAACAAATGGAACCGCCTTCTCGATAGAAATAGCAGCTAGAATACAGTTACTCAGAATACATTTTTCGGGCACTAGGTGGTTATGAGCAACACTTATGTGTATGGGAATCAACAATACTGCTCCAGTTGTTCAAGCTGCAGGAAGTCGAGTAGGATTCGAACTCGGGACCTAAACCAATACGCCACATTTACGCAGTAATTTACCGACTAGTTTCGCATACGCCAGTTTACGCCATCTCTGACGTAGACGTGATATCCAACTATCGACCAAAAGGCGGGTGTACTTCTCATCGGTCCGCTATGTCCTCCTGTGTATGGCTGTGAGAGAGACATGCCCATTGAGAGTGGAAGACATGAAAAGCCCAGTTAGCTGTGTTTGATCATAGGTGCCTGCATTCTATCTCCCGTGTGAAGTGGTATAATAAGGTGAGCAATATTGAGGTTAGGCATGGGTCGGGTTCTAGGTAAGGAGGGGAAATCAATCGACGAGGCTGTGAAATTACATCGACTGAGTGAGATGGTTAGGACATGTGTTGCGTATGCCAAGTCATCGCCTTCCTCGACTGACGGGCAATGTTAGCTGACATAGGGTCACACTGGAAAAGAGCTAGCGGAGGTGAAACAAAAACATGGAACCAGTCAATGAAATCCACAACAGTTAGTTTAAGCCAGCCACTTAGGAAGGTGTAGACTTCCCCGTTGAGGTCCTCGGGATGGTAAAAACCAACGATGGTTGGAAACAATTGGTGGCATGGCTCAAAATCGTTCTCAATGACTAGCGAAGATGCATCCACTCCTTGTGACTTATGATCTCCAATGAAACTGTTTTGTCATTCGTTACTACTATTCCCTTGTCTTCTACCTCTGTTTACTGTCTCTATTATGCATTTCTTCTACTTTCTTCTCTTGGTTTGTGCGATACATGGAGGGAGTGTGGGGACTTGAACTGGTGCACATCAGTGCAAAGTTCTATGTCGAAAACAGACAGACAGCAATTTACTGGCTGTGATTTTCAGTGCAGCAAACATTTTATAAATTACCAATTGTGACGCCTTCACCGGTTATAATGATATAAAACTGTAGTGTACGAGTTTCTCCACTTGAACTATTTAACAGTTTAACCATCAGAAAAATACAGACAGGGAATATATTCGTATAGTCTAAACATTTTATGGGTTGCAGGATTGAATAACATTTCTGAGTTTTAATATTGTGGGTAAATGTTATGTACTCGTCGCCAAATTATTGTTATGTACTGGTCGAGAATTTAATAGTCCTGATGCGAGAAGGCGGAAATCAGAAGACCACTAGGTTTGCGATGATACTTCTATTTTCCAAACACAAGGAGAAGCAATAAGTGGTATCACACCAAAAGTAGTGTCACAAGATTGTGAGAGCGAAATATATATGACCGTCCAGACAAGCGTGTGAACAAATCAATAGACAGTCTTAACATGAATGGCTAATTATAATGGAGTATCGATCCATATATACATAGCAAAATATAGCAGACATGTCAACAACCACACATATAATATGGATATATGTCACCAAGCAACGGACTGTCAACAAACACTCATATTATATATAATATAAGGGGAATATACATTGTTAAAGGAGACATGTTCATCAAAGTGAAATAGTCACAGACTAAGCGAGCAAACAGAAAGAGAGACCATCATATATATATATATATATATCAGTAAGCTACAGCAAAAATGTAAACACAGATTTCTGACTGACTGAGTGTCTACATAGAACTTTGCACAGAAGTGCAGAAGTTCAAGCTGCCACACTCTATGTAGCACACAAAGGTAATTAAAAAAGAGAGAAAAGGGATTCGAAAGTACCATAAGTAAGCATAAATGTAAAGGAGAAAGAGTTTAATGCATGTAGAAAATCACAAAAGGTGAATCAATTTGCACTATCAACTGCGATTTTGACCCATGTCTCCAATAGCCTCCAGCCATTGGTTCTTAGCATTCTGAGCACCCCAACCAGGTAGTCTACACTTCCCTACGTAACTAACTGTCAAAGATTTCACAGACTAATACCAGGTTTTGGCTTGACTACCTATAATTCTTTCCCGACCTAATGCTATATCGGCTAAGATTACTTGGCGAGGAAGGCGACGGCTCAGGATACACTATATGTGTCTGAACGGCCTCAATCGGTGTAGCTTCATAACCTCGTAGATAGCCTTCTCTTCCTTACCTAACACTCTATGCCTAATCTGAATAATTCTCAAAATGTTAAACCGATTTGCACGGGAGGTAAAACGCAAATACCTGCAATCGAAAACAGATTTTGATAAATTCCATCAGTTTAATGAAGGAATATTGTATTAAGCAGATCACAACAAAAAAAAACGAAGAGAAACTAAATTTATAACCAATGGAATAATGCACAATATTGAAAAGCAAAAACTTACACATCATCCACTTGCATATCTTTTAGAATTTGACAATAATCCACATTCCAAACAGCTTGATCATCCCACACTTTACTAGCCAGTACTATAGCGCATAGAACGATCCTTTTCCATGTACTGGGTGTCAATTCTGTCTCAGCGCTAGTCAGAAGGCGTTCTAAGTAGACCTGTAAAGTAAACGAAGCAATAGCAAACCACATCAAAGTATTTTTCTTAGTTAGCTTCAAAATTATAAAGTTCCAAGTGGTAGGTAGGTATATACTAATGCAAGTGTGTGTACACAAGTAACTCCATATTAGTTAGACGTATCACACAGTGAAACTATTATTTACTGGATGACAGCGTCTCGAACACAACTTATTACTGTTCATAATCATTTCATCAATTATAATTAAACGACTTCGAAACTTGGGTTTTATAGTTCTCTTCGTTCTCTCCTATTGGTCGTCGTTGGGGTAGTAGAATTTTCCAGATGTCCAACTGGACAGGTGATGAATCATTCCTATTACACGTATTTTCTCTCAGTTGATTCGATAAACAAAGCTACTGTTATTAATCTCTCCCTCCACTCAGCTGTGACATTGGATTTTAAAACTGTCATCCCATCCCATCCACCCTATTGTATGGTTGTGTGTAACTGCATGTAGTGAGTGGTAGAGCTGAACTATTCTCTAGATTTGTTAGATTACTTAGATTGCAGGGTTAAAAGGAAAGAAGATGGGAAGTTAAACATTGGTGTTTATAGGAAACCCACACATTCAAACAGATATTTGGATTTCCGATCATCCCATCCTATGTCAGTAAAAATAGGATTAGTGAAATGTTTAAGTGACAGAGCACAAAAAACTAAGTAGTACCAAGGAAAATATAAGACAGGAAGTGACACATATAAGAGAAGCCTTGAAACTTAATAATAACCCTGGTAATTTAGTCAAGAAATATGTAGGGAAATGTAAAAATAAAATAAATAATGATAGTAGTGATAGTGATAATAGTAATAATATTAATGACGATATGGAAGTCAAATGTGCGCAAGTCAACACCATTAATAAGGAATCTAAATCATTAGTAGTAATTCTATACAAGGAAGGAACCTCGGAAGCTTCACGCAGAATTCTTAACAAGGCAGGAGTAAATGTGGCTGGCATTCAAACCAACCACAAACTCAATTAGAAACAAGCTTTGTCGGTTAAAGCATCAATCTTAAGGGGGGGCCTTTAAAACAAAACAATTTAGTTTATCTAATACCCTGCTTGGATGATTGTCAGGTGAAATACATAGGTCAAACTAGTAGAACAGGGGCAGTCAGTCAGACTAGCCGAACATAAAAACCCAGCAGCGAAATCTAGATTGGTTGACCCAAGTAAGATAAGGAATCTGGAGAATAGTTCACCTATACCACTCACTGCATGCAGTTACACACAACCATACAATAGGGTGGATGGGATGGGATGACAGTTTTAAAATCCAATGTCACAGCTGAGTGGAGGGAGAGATTGATAACAGTAGCTTTGTTTATCGAATCAACTGAGAGAGAATACGTGTAATAGGAATGATTCAACACCTGTCCAGTTGGACATCTGGAAAATTCTACTTCCCCAACGACGACAATTAGGAGAGGACAAAGAAGGCTATAAAACTCAAGTTTCAAAGTCGTGTGATTACAATTGATATGATTATGAACAGCAATAAATTGTGTTCGAAACTGTTTCATCCAGTAAGTAATACTGTTTCAATGACTGTGTGATACATCTAATAAACAAACTGATATGGAATTACTTACTGCCACAGTGCCCATGTTTTACACATATCAGTGTGTACACAAGCTTTTTAATGATGTGTTGCATGAAACACATCCTATTTTAATAAAGTATTGAAAATAAGCGTTTCGAATTTATCCTGGTTTGTTAACAGTAGAAATTTGGCAAATATTATTATGAATAGGCTATTTCATTTCCAAATTTTCTAGTTGTAATAATAATGATAATAGTGGCTTCATTACAAACAGTACACTTGATACAAGGTGGAATTTCCAACATGTGATACAATAACACCTCCAGTTTTTTCCTTATATTACAAAGTAAGGAGTGAAATGATTTACAAGACATTTACATCATTATTGATATCAATGAAAATAAGAATGTTAAGTGTTTCGCCGTAAGTTAACCGTTTCATGCCTAACACTTTTCTTATTGCAATAAAATCCTTGCCAAATAAGGTGTGATAGAGTTTTTATACTTGGTAGCCAGAGCATAAAGTCTTTATAGTAATAGTTAATTCTAATCTTACCTGATGAGATGATGCAAGGGGGAGATTTGTGTGCAAAGAGGATACGTTACTCAGAGTTTGACAACATGATATACACCAATTTCTTGCGTGAGTTCAAATGTCCGTCTACAATAGCATTAACAAGCAATATTCGACTTCTGTCCTACAGACAGCTTTTTAGTAACCTTCGCAATGTAATAAAGTCTTTCTTAAGTAGATAATGAAACATTAATGGGGAACAATGGTAACACTTTCCAAGAGTGAACTCATACATAAATTAAAATTAATTACAACTGGAAGATGTTATACATTTCTATGAATAGATTAGGTACAATAGCCATTTGATTAACGCGAGAATCCCAGAATTATGAGAAGTGTCATTATTACGAAAAAGATATCCGAATATCTAGAACCCTAAGTGTGTCAAATACACTGTCTTTCACTAATACGCTTCGAAGTATGAAAACGACACCTCTTGGCAATATACAGAACTTCAAACTCTGTTCAACCCATTTAAATTAATACACGGCAGTCTAACAGTATAATAGGTTGTCAGTTCACTACATAAAAGCGATACTACATAAACAAATTGCACTATTTAGCTGTTATTTAACATAAAATTAAGATAAAAGGTAACATTTATAAATCTATAAAACAGAGTATAAGGGAAATTTACGACTCAAATATAAGAAAACATGCACAAATATTGGATATACATGAATGAATTTCAAATCAATTGACGAGAACACTCGATGACAAACACTCGATTTTCCGTGGCTTTGATTGATCCCAAGTTTGATCAACACCTGACTTGGATTAGACAGGCACTGAAAACCAAGGAGTGCTGAACGCCTGTTTCACCGCATTTTTGGACTCCTCAGAAGTACGCAACCAAGGTCCCATAGGGATGCAGGACCTTCAAGTTTACCAGGCAAGCAGCCCGTTGACCATTTAGCCACGTGAACAGAATCCAGTGGACCATGAATTCTAAATTCCGTCGATTCGTGATATGTGGCGTGATTTCCTTTTATGAGGCTTTACTCAGTTCTTTCTGCCGCAACCTTACGAAATGTTTTGTTTGTAAAACAACTACAAATACGAGTTGCATTTTCGCTTCTACAGATACAGTTTCCTCAGAGATGAATCTTATTAATTTGTCTTCCTTCTACCAGATTACCTAATCACCCTGTGATTTTATCCTATCATTAGCTTCCTGTTTATTTGTCATATTAGCCTAGTAGAATTGTGTTTGTTCAACGTATTCTGTAATTAAACGTTTGTTTACTAATGTTTCAGAAAGAATTGAACTTGGATTTGTATATACTTTAGTTCACGCACGAAAAAATAAAAAAAAGATAGCTATATGAAACAATTGTCAGAATCAACACCAAGTGCAAGATGCGTGACATTGTCTACGCTCTGGTGACCAATCAACGTATACATTACAATCCTCCAGGTAGTCAAACGTGAGTCCCAAAAGCTCAGTGGAAACGCCACTGGCTGTAGTTCTGGGTGACGCTCATTCGGATTTTAGAGGGGATATCAATTACATCAAAGTTGGAGATACACCTTGCTGATGAATGTCAACAGGCACAAAACCTAGATACATGGCTTCCAACCCAACTGCCTCTAACCACCTAACATCACAATTGTATGTATATATCAATTAAAAATGGTTTTAAACTATCAACATACCATTGTGACTATTGCACATTCTGGAGAAAGTTGAGCCATTTGAAATAGATTTCGAATAAAACGATAAACTGTTTTTAAATCTGGATCACGTGTGGTATAATCAAATGGGACAGGTTCATTCTAAAACAAAGAAAGTGAACAAAACAAAAAATAGAAGGGAAGTAAAACAGGTAGAAAACGTAGTGAAACTAATTAGTAAATTAACGATTATATATAAATTTTCTTACACACCTTGAAATTAATTCCACCGAAAACCAAACCATAAATGGTCATCAAGGATAAACAAATTGGGTGTGATCATTATTTTTTTTTTCTTTGCTGATCACTACAGTGATAGCTGCTATACCAATTTTGAAAAGCAATGTGTAATAAGAATTTAACTGGTGGATGGTGACTAGCAGCGGAATCCAGGATAACGCGCATTTCGTCCTATTTGGGACTCATTGTGAGCTGGATGTACCTGCATTCCCCACTGAGTGATGATGCTGGTTGGGCACTGGGTCCGAGTCTCGGTGGGAACATCATCACTCAGTGGGGAATGCAGGTACATCCAGATGACGAGTCCCAAATGGGACGAAATGCGCGTTGTCCTCGATTCCACTGCTAGTCACCATCCACCAGTTAAATTCTAATTACATGCCCAGACATAGTCGAAGTATCTGCAAAAGAAGCCGACATGTCAACTTGAGACCGAGCACTTGTGTCTAATCAATTGACAAGAAAATCTAAAATTCAATTGAAGCAATGTGTAATAGTTAGAGATTATGAGTAGCACTCGTGTATTAAGTTAGTATTTCTTATAGAAGTTTTGAATAATGTTTGAAACAACATCAACAACAACAGTAGTGGTAGCTGTTACTAAAAATCTTCGAGAAAACAATGTTTCTTAAAAACTTATCACCTTCCATACATTGAGGTTTCAAAGAAATACTTTATCAAACAAATACCCAATGACTTATGACTTGCTCAGATTGAAAAAAACTGTAAGTGATGATTTGTTTGTAAGGAACAGTGTAAAGTATAAATTTTCTGCGCCGTTACCAGATGAATAAACGAATGATTTTTAACACTGAATGATGATGGATGCTTTAGATTTCTGACAGACTCTCTCTTCATGAGAAATTATTCTTTCCTTCAGATATGTAAGCAAACGTCAATTCTTTCCAAAGCTTCCTTCAGATTACGTATGAATAACTAAATCCACCTCTCCCTTCCATATTTAACTGAGGATATTAAAGCCAGATAGCCAATTTTGTCCTTTTCAGCAGGCAATTCATTACCAGACGGTATAATATACAAGATTTTCAACACTAGTGTCAAGTCACATCTTCTGCATGGTTCAGAAACTTGGGACGCCTGTCACAGCAAATGTTTTCCAACAGGCTCTACACTGAATATCAGATGACCGGCCATCGGTAAGGATTGGCAACAAGGAAATTCCGTAAAGAACCAACCAAGAACCTATAAAACTTGGGCACTGTGGTAGAGTATAACTCCATTATGGATAAGATTTTATTTTGATAAGTCACACAGTTTTATACAGTAATATTAGCTGATGACAACGTTTCGAGCACAAACTATTGCTCATAATCATATCAAGTTGCTCACACAACTTTTTTCTTCCATTTATACACATGTGTGGAATTGATTAGACATTTGAATCAAAATCCAAATAGGATAATATGTGGTGAGAGCTGGCTACTAGCCAAGATTGGTAGACAGTATTTTACGTCAATGTTTATGTCCCCAATATTGGTCGCGAGAAAAATATGAACAAAGACTTTCTGTCTCTGTCTGGATTCAAAATAGAACTTGGCACCGAAGTGCACCAGTTCGATTTGCCACCTTCCAAATAGCACACAGAGGTAGACAAGAAGATGAGTGAAGAGAATCAATACAATCTGACAAGTATAAGAGTGAAACAGAATGGGTAATGGTAGAAAGGAATATGAAAGATTACAGAGACTGGATGCATCTGCGCTGGTCATTGACAACGATTTTGAGCCATGTCACTCACCTATTGTCTCCAGCCATTGATTCCTAGAGTCCCGAGGGCCCCAACCCGGGAGTCTGCATCTCCCTACCTGACCGGCTCAGTTTAACTGTCAAGGATTTCATGGATTGATGAGGCCATGTTTTTGTTTGGCCACCACTTACCCTTTACCAGCCTGCACCTATATCAGCTAGTAATGGCTGTCGGGGGAGGCGATGGTTAGGCATGCGCACCACGTGACCTAGCCATCTCAGTCTATGTAACTTTATAGTCTCGTCGATTGATTTTTCCCTGTTTGCCCAACACTAAGCCTAACGTCAACATTACTTACCTTATTAAACCACCTAACATGAGAAAGAGATCGCAGACATCTATGATCGAAAGCAGTCAACCTTTTCATGTCTTCAACTCGTATTGACCATGTTTCGGAGCCATAGAGAAGGACGGGGCGAACTGATGAGCAGTACACACGTCCCTTGGTGGATAGCCGGATGTCACGCCTACGCCAGAGATGGTGTAAGTCAGCGAAAGCAGATCGAGCTTTTCGGATCCGTGCTGAGATTTCGTCGCCAATCAGTCCGTTGGTGCTAATACAACTTCCCAAATAAGTGAAGTGGTCAACATGTTCTATCACTTCACTCCCTATCACTAAGCTAGGAGTTGACGTAGTCCAGTCCTGTAGCAGCATCTTACATTTTTCAGGGGCGAATCGCATCCCAGACATACGAAGATTGCTGCTCAAGGTGTTCAGAAGACTCTGCTGGATTTTGTCATCATCCTCCCCTAACAGGACTATGTCATCTGCATATTCTAAGTCCATAAGACTATTCCCTGGTAACAAGTCGATTCCTAAGTCATTACGTTCAGTTAAGGATACTTCCATCAGCATATCTATGATGAAGTTAAACAGAAATGGGGAAAGTGGACATCCCTGTCGGACACCACTGGTTGTTACCAATTCAGATGACAATTCCCCATAAGCCCTTACACGACTACGTGAGTTTGAATAGAGTGCCTTGATTAGTGCAATGTACTTTCTTGGCACTCCCTTCACAGTCAGACATTGCCATAGTACCTTTCGATCCACGGAGTCGAAGGCCGCCTTCAAGTCAAGAAATATGACAATTGTTGGACGCCGAAAAGTGTGTCTATGTTCTAGAATCTGTCGAAGAGTGAAGATATGATCTATGCACCCTCTACCTGGTCTAAAGCCTGCTTGATTTTCCCTTGTCTGTTCCTCCCGAGTTCTGCTTAGTCTATGCATGATTACTGAGCCTAGGATTTTAGAGACTATGTTCGTTAGGCTGATCCCCCTATGATTATCACACGAGGACTTGTTTCCCTTCTTGAATATCGGTATAATAAGTGACTTACCCCAGTCTGATGGCACTGTCTCTGATTCCCACACTTTGCCTAGTACCTCAGTTAATCTACAAACTAGTATGTCACCCCCATATTTAAACACCTCCGGAATAATTCCGTCGGGTCCTGCCGCTTTGCCTCGTTTCAAATTACTGATAGCTTTTGTGACCTCACTTACAGACGGCGGACCAGTGTCTATATCCCATTCGGGTGTGTGCTGGATGTTGGGGAGGTTCAGTGTGGCTGTAGGCAAGTTAAATTGTCCCTCAAAGTGTTCTTTCCAGCGTTCAAGGCGTCTATCCTGAGAGCTAATTAAGGAGCCATTTTTCTCAGAAATAGTCTCACTTATGATTTGCCTTCTCCCACCCGTTTCCCTGATGAGTCTAAAGAGTTGCCTAGTGTTGCCTATCGCCGATGCTTTTTCCATCTCTTTCGCCTTTGTCACCCACCACTGTTCACGGTCCTTGCGGAGACTTTTAGTAAGTTTCCTTTTGTGCAGCTTTCGCTCCTCATTGAATTCGGAGCTCGCCGGAATAAGTCTTCTAGCATCTATCAGTTCGGATGAGGCGGTCGAAATCCAGTGGTTTTTACTCACCTTTGGATTTGCCTTATTCACAGCTTTTACAGCTGTATCTATGGCTGACTGGATATTCTTCCAAGCTTCTTCAGGGTGAGCACAGCTGTCGAACACAGATATGTGTTTAGCTAGTTCTTCCTCAAATAGGGATTTAGTTTCCTGATCGAGCTGGGGACGTGATGGTTTTACCGCCAGCTGTTTCCTACGTCCGTTCAGTCGTAAGCACACACGAGCCCGGACCAGTGCGTGATCGGTATCTACACACGTGTTCCAGAAGGAGCGACAATCTCCTACCGACCCACGCCAACGATAGCTTATTGCTATGTGGTCTATTTGTGTCCAGCGTTGGTTTGATGATGGGGGTCTCCAGGTCAAACAGTGTCTCTCCTTGTGTTTAAAGTTAGTGCTTACAAGAAACAAATGATTATCAGAACAGAACTGTAGGAGACGGTCACCGTTGTCGGTTCGCTGGCACGGAACTCCATAGGTGCCACCGACATCCTTCTCAGATTGACACAATTTCCCTACTTGAGCGTTAAAGTCACCAGCTAGAACGACTATGTCTGAGCGTTTAGCCTTTCTCACCAAACTAGACAGCTTTTGGTAGAACTCATCCTTCGTTTCATCCGAACTGCAGTCAGTGGGGGCGTAGGCGGAGATTACGAAAAGGCATCGGCGAGTAGTGCAGTCCTTTCTCCTTCTTACTGATCCGTTCAGACGGACAGCACACATTCGGCTATCTACCGGGATCCAGTCAAGCAATGTCTTTTCTGCCCTAGTACTCAAAGCTATCCCTACGCCAGCTAATCCTCGTGAACTAGCTGTGGCATCTCCTGACACCCTCAAGGTGAATTTTGCAGATTCAACCTGTTGGCCAGGTGGGGTTAGGTGAATAACCACACTTGGGTCTTGTATGCGTGTTTCTGAAACACAGCATACATCAATGGCTCGGGATGCCAGGGTCTTGGCTAGTGATGCTTGTTGTCCTATTTGGCAAAGTGTCCTAACATTAAAAGCTCCTATATGAAATTGGTGGCGTGGCTTTAGGAGGCTATCGGTGGTGGTTTTTTGGCTTCCATCGTTTTTAGTGGATGCAGAGTGGAGAGGAAGTGGAGAGCTATCAAGTCGAGGAGTTGCATCAGTGGAAGGAAGGCAAGATGATAGAGATGAAGATGAAAACAAAGATGA